TCCACTCACCTCAGCCTCCCAAAGACGCAGGATTACAGGCTGAGCCACCGAGCCCGGCCAGCTGCCAGATTTAAAGATGAGGAAGCTGAGGCAGAGGCCTGCAGGGCTAGCATGCCCCTCCAGAACTCAGCACTGGAGCCTGTTTTCTTTTCTTTTTCTTCTTTTCTTCTTTTTTTTCTTTTGAGTTGGGGGTCTCATTCTGTCATCCAGACTGGAGTGCAGTGGCACAATTATGGCTCACCTCAGCCTCAAACTCCTGGGCTCAAGCGATCCTTCCGCCTCAGCCTCCCGAATAGCTAGGACGAGAGGTGTGGGCCACCACGTCTGGCTAATTATTTTTCGCAGAGATGAGGTCTTGGTGTGTTTCCCAGGCTGCTCTCCAACTCCTGGGCTCAAACGATCTTCCCATTCCCAAAGTGTTTTCTGAGTGCACCTGGGTACTCACACAGGCCCTGGCCTTACCTCTCTGCTCTGGGCATCTTTGCAGAACAGTTTCACTTGGCCCAGGCCTGTCGTCCTCAGTTTTCAGTTCTTTGGTGGCCCTGTGACTACGACCCAGTGAAGATTGCCATTTCTGCCCCAACAGGGCTTTCTGTGCTCCTGTCCCTGTATCTGCCCTGTGACCTTGGGCAAGTTGGTCCACCTCGCTGAAGCCGCAGGCTTCTCATCTGTAGAATGGGCACGCGTCTCCTGACCTCACAGGTTGCCAGAGAGCTTCCGCAAGACAACAGCGAAGTGCTTGGTTCTTGCCTGCTCAGTAGGGAGCACTTCTGTGTGAACAAGAACCCTGCAAACCAGAGTCAGCCCCAAAGCACGCAGATGCCCTGCCCATGGGTTCAGCTCTCCCCCTCCCCTCCCCTCCCCAACCCCAGATACGACTTTGGCTTCCCCAGCGTCAGAGCCTTTGTGCTTGCAAACCCCCGGGTGAGGTTGGGGGAGAAAGAAGAATGTTTTCACTTAGTTGAACACAGAAATTGCTGGTCAAGAAGTTCCCTCCCCTTCCCTCTCTCCCCCCACCCCAACGGGACCTGCCTTGGCTTTGAGTCACTGGACAGGAAAAGTTGATAAGGACTCTTGGGCGTGAGGCTCATGGGTAGGGAAACTCCTGGCTTAGTCCTGTTTGGGCCCCCCGATGACACACACAGGAAGGGACTGGGCAGTGGTTCTGGAAAAAAGTTCCATGGGAAGGCGGTGGCCCCTTTCACCCTCCCCTCTGAGACTACGCTGCCTCCTGGCTTGGCCCCTGGATGAACCCTGCACCTCGTTCTTCTTACCACCTGCTCAACCCAGAATGACATAACTGACCTGGAAGGGCCTGTCGAAATCAATTTGTCCAGGGCTTCATTTTATAGAGAAGGGAACTGGTTTAACGAGGGAACCGGCTCTTAGGTCACATCTCCCAGTTTCCACAGCGGCATTTGTCTGCTGGTGTGTGGATGGATGTCAACGACTGCATTTCCCAGGGACCGTGCTTTAACTCCGGCGGTGAGTCTCACCCAACACCCAGACCATCTGGGCCAGGAGTGGGCTATTGAGAGAGCAGGCGTGGACAGGCCCTCTGCCCCAGATCCCAGATTCTGGAACTCTCCACTCAGCCCTGGGGTGAGTGCCACCCTTTCTCCATCTCTCCAGGAACCTTAGGCCCTGATCTGGGGATGAACCCCTGGGCACCAGGAATAAAGGGATTCATTCAGGGCTTCCTTCCGCAAACATTGAGCACCTGCCGTGTACTTGGCATCAGATGAGAATCCGAGTTTATATCCATTTTTTACGCAGAGTTCTGAAAAGGAGAGCCTTGCTGGAAATGGCGTATGCCAAAATAGACTTTCTCACAAAGAATTTTAAAAAGCGAGAGATACAGTCTCATGGTTTGAAAAAGCAGCCAAGCATGTTCTTTTTTTTTCTTTCCAGATTACATTAGTGTTGACAGTCAATAAATATTTTTTGAAAAAAGTGAGCATATTAAGTTCATTAATGAAACATGATTCACGTCATTGCTTCAGTCCCACTGAGCCATTCACGGCCTTAACCCCTGAGTGTGAGCTCCTTCCTCCAGTCGACGGATTCTTGCCAACAGCCTTTCCCTTGCAGGGAAGTTCCAGATCTAGCACTTTCTTTGATCCTGGTGGCTCTGCCGTGTCTTGGGCTTCTACTGCAGAAAGCCTGGGCTGATGCTGGTGATCCATTGTCTGTCATGGGGGACCCTGGCGGTGACAGCCTTTCTTGGCTTCTTCCTCTTGTCCCTCCCCACCATGCTGATTCACATTTTCTTTTCTTTCTTTTATTTTTTTAAGTCAGTGTCTCACTCTGCCTTCCAGGCTGGAGCACAGTGGCACGCTCATGGCTACCGTGACCTCGACCTGCTGGACTCAGGAAGTCCTTTCACCTCCACCTTCCAAGTAGCTGGAACCATAGGCATGTGCCACCACACCCGGCTAATTTTTTGATTTGTTATAGAGTCGAGGTCTTGCCAAATTGTCCAGGCTGGTCTCAAACCCCTGGGCTCAGGCAATCCTCTCGCCTCGGCCTCCCAAAGTACTGGGATTACAAGTGTGAGCCACCATGCCTGGTTTAGTTGACATTTTCTACTCAAGTGTTCTCATCAAAGTTTTATAGACACATCCAGATAAACAGATACATTTATAGAGCTAGGTCATGTGCCTCTGAAATGCCAAGCATTTGGTGGTAAAAGGGACAGAGGTTCAGACTTGGGAGGAACCTTGTTGAATGCTGGTGTCAGGGCCCCTCTCCCACTGACTTGGTCACTCTGTGGGACCTCTGAACTAAGCCACCACTGGGACAACTCCAAAACTTGAATGGAAAGTTTATAGTGGGTTGTTCTGAAATCAGAATATGCAGCTCAATTTTTTTTGTCGTGATCTTCATTTTTTATTTTTATTTTTTTATTTTTATTTTTTTGAGTTGGAGTCTCACTGTTGCCCAGACTGGAGTGCAGTGGCTACTTCCAGCCACGGCAGCCTTGACCTGTTGGGCTCTGGCGATCCTTCTGCCTTAGCCTTCCAAGTAGCTGGAACTAAAGGCACGCGCTACCACGCCCGGCTAATTTTTTTTTATTTATTGTAGAGATGAGGTCTCGCCTGCCCAGGCGGGTCTCGAACCCGCGGGCTCAGGCAATCCACTCACCTCAGCCTCCCAAAGGCGCAGGATTACAGGCTGAGCCACCGAGCCCGGCCATGATCTTCATTTTTTAAATTCCCAAATCCTTATTGAGTTAATTGTTCATCTGTCAGGGAGAAGGGGCGGTGGTGATTGTATAAAAGGGAATAGGGATTGGATGCCGTGGCTCCCGCCCGCAATTCCAGCACTTTGGGAGGCTGAGGTGAGAGGATTGCATGAGTCCAGGGGTTCAAGATCAGCCTGGGCAACTTGACGACCTCATCTCTACAATAAATAAAAAATTAGCCAGTGTAGTGGTGTGCGCCTGTAGTACCAGCTACTTGGAAGGCTGAGGTGGAAGGATTGCCTGAGTCCAGCAGGTCGAGGCTGCAGTAGTTGTCGTTGTGTTACTGCACTCCAGCCTGGGCAACAGTGAGACTCTGACTCAAAAAAAAAAGGAACAGAGCCCTGGCCTTGGGAAGTCTGCACACAAGTGTGGGACAAAATGGTGTTGGTGAATTCTTGGGAGGCCCCAGGGAGAGTAGCCCTCGGGAAAATCATACGACTTCTCTCTTTTTCTTCCTTTCCTTTTGAAGGACTGAGGTCTGGAGGCGCTGCGAGGCTATGGGACTTCCCATCCTTGAGGGGCTGGGGAGACTGCGGGGTTGGGGGAGGAATGGGATTCTGGGGACCGGGCTGTGTGGGCTTCTCTCCAAGGAAAGGCTTGCGGTTTAAAACCATGTCCACCAGGTGGCGCAAATGCCTCTTTTTTGTGTGGGTATTGTGGCCCAGCCATCTGCAGACGGCCTGCTCTGTGGATGTCCTGCCTGACTTCTCTTAACAACTCAAGCACGTTCTGCAAGTAGGCATCCACCCCTGCTTGAACACCACCAGTGACGGGGAGCTCACACCTCCCGGGGGCAGAGTAAGTAGCAGGGGTAGAGGTGGAATTGAGGGGCATCAAAAAGTCACCTGACCAATGATAGCTGCCACCCTTCCTCTCCCCGCCCACTGCTTCCAAAATTCCTATCTTCCCAGTCTTTTTGTTGGGAATAATTTCTTATCTCCTCTGTTTTCTTCCTTTCTTCCTTCCATCTTTCCTTCT